TCCTCATAATTCAGTTGCCTCTAGGATTTTTACCATAGAGTTGTATAATCTATATATCCATTGCCTATCCTGAGGCTTGAAGATACTGCCTCATAAAAAAATTCAACTTCTGAACTCAAATGCCTAGAATACACAATTGTATGTCAGATAGATAGACATTTAAATATACATAGGCTTCACAGTACAGAAAACAAAACCAAAAATAAAAACCACCTAACATAACTGAGAAATGGTAAGATTTAAACATACAGTTAGCTATCAGGCTCCAGATATCTTAAATAAAGTCATTTAAATATGTAGGCAAGTTATATATGTTAAAAATATCTTATAATATAAACCTGAAACAAACCTCTTGATACTGTTGCACTACTTGTTCCGGTGTATCACCTAGAAAGATGTAAAAGTCCAGAATGCCACCAATGATTCTGTAAGTTATGATACGAGCAGGCTGGATGAAAATCTCTACAACATAAAAATTGAGAAAGCATATGTCAACAGTAAAAAGGTAAAGAGTGATAAAATGATTATGGTATCTATTTAAAGTGTTGTCTATTGAGCACATAATTTTAAGCTGTTTTTAAATAAGTATGAGGAAATAAGATATTGAAGATAGGAAAAATACATGGAAAAAGTAAAATGCTACCATGTATGAGGTTTATGAGAGGATATCCCAGATGTTTCCTTGTAAAGATACTGGCAAAAGCTCCCATAGAAATTGCATAGCAAGGAAGAGGAAACCAGTCCTTTTGCAACAATAATATTTCTTTCTTAAATTGCATTTCAAGTAGTTGTTTCTAAGAAAAACATGGAAAATTTGATGGTTCTGTATGTAAAACAATAATTGCCTGGATAACCATCTAATATTACTGTTCTTGCTGAATTATTAATTTTGTGTCTTTTATTATCATCAGTTTACCTGTTAAATATAGGTATTGCACTCATAACATTAAAAGAGATTTTACATTACTTGAATTATGATAAACTAATAAAATACTATCTCTTCTTTCTCTCCCCATATCAACCTTTCTCTTTTTTATTTGTATGCTAACTTATCTTAACAAACGAGACTATGGAAATGGGAATATTCATTTTCATGGGTGTGTTTCAATGTTGTTCTAAAGGAAAAAGAAAAATCCTGAATATCACAATGTAACATTTTTTTCCAAATAGAGTACTGGCATGCAAAAATTCAGTGTCTCACTAACTTCAAAACCTACTTATAATTTCACATACTACATCACTAACAATAGAGTTTACTCTCAGATAATATCTATTATTGGAATAAAGAGAGTAGTTCAAATATTTCAAGTTAAATCTCATTTAAATATATCATCAGATAAATTACTCTTACCCATCGCATTGCTGTTCATCAAGAAAACACCAAATGACTTTCCAGAAGTACCTTCAATGCACATGAAGAATGTTTGATGGCCATATAAATTATTATTATTCTATAAGACAAAATGTTAAAATTAAATTTTAAGTCTATTTAACACAAAAAGTTTATATATTTAAAATGGCTTTTACAAATTCCACTTTGTTTCTGTTATTTATCATTCTTAGCTCTATGCTAATCTTTCCTTCTACAGTGTATGTGCCTTGTGTAACTCTGCAGCACAAAAACATCAAAATGATTTTAATTATTAACATATGAAGATAAAATATGTAACATAATATATGATTTGTACTAGTAAGAAATTATTTAACTTTCACTTATGTTTTATTATGATTAAATGAGTTTTAATAAGCTACACATGATAGGGTATTGACATATTTAACCACTATGTTCATATATACCCAAGGAACTGCAGAGAATTCCGGAATTATGTCCACTCTCATAGAACTTTTGCAGCACATTTATTGAGAGCTGATGAGTAGATGAAATGGAAGAGGCAAATTGGAAATACACTTATGAGGTAAAAGAAATAAGAGTTCTTGACTGGTTGAATATGGAGGTTCAAAGGAAAGAATGCATTTAAAATAGCTATGAGGTCGTCAGCCTGGTGTTTATTACTGTAAACAAGGATTGGTAGAATTTGTTAGTCATCCTGTACCCAGTGGGGATTGTTAAAACAAATTTACTTATTCATTTTTTAGGAATAAAATAGTTAACATTGGCATTTAAAGAGTTGCTAAAATTTGCCTGGCCGGTGTGACCAAGGGGTTGAGCATTGATCTATGAACCAGGAGGTCACAGTTCGATTCCTGGTTGTGGCACATGTTCAGGTTGTGGGCTTGAACCCCTGTGGGGGGCGTGCAGGAGACAGTCAATCAATAATGTTTCTCTCATCATTGATGTTTCTATCTCTCCCTTCCTCTTCATCTCTCTTTAAAAAATTAATAAAAACATTTTTTTAAAGTTGCTATAATTTTACTCAAAACAATCATGAATTAATAAAAAAAATTAAATGATGTGGTCTTTGTCCTGAAGAATCTCATATTCTGGAAGTATATTCACATATATGCACAAATAATATACTGTGATGATTGTTATACTAAAACTAATAGCCCTGTGCACAAATCTGTGTGCCAGTAGCTCGCCAGTAGCTCGCTGCTGACCTCCAGTAGCTCTCCACCCCCTGCCCCGCCCTCCTGTAGCTCCTCCATTCCCCCCTCATATTCCCCGTCATAACTTGCTGCCCTGCCCCCTCCTGTAGCTCTCCGCCACCTGCTTGTAGCTCGCTGCCCCACCCTCCTGCTGATCCATGATCCAGTCATTATGTGGTCGGTTGTTACGTTTCACGGCGTAACGACCATTTGCATATTACATCTTTATTATATAGGATATGAATAAAGGGTTAGAAAGTAAATATTAATTCTTTATAAAAGAGTTTGGGAGAAATTGCTATGAGGTGAAACTTTAAAAGAGCCCTCAATGACATTGAATACATGATAAAGAATTTCAGGTTTCAGTATTTAAAAAGAGAACCAACTCCTTGTGCAAATGGGTGAACTTATAGAAGGTTATAATATGTTATGGAAGAGAAAGAAGTAGGCATAAATGCCCAATATGATCTCCAATAGATAGACAGACATTATATCACACAAAACCATGTATAACATGCTAAGAGTTTAGAATTATTTTAATACAATGATAGGTTTAAGTACAAGAGTGACCAAAAAGGAAATGATAAAATATAAAAATCAAAAGAAAACATTCATAAACTGGAAATACCTATTTAAACATGCATAAAATCTGTTGGTCACTTATTGATATAATTTAAGATTTTGTTATCAATTCTTGCCCTTACAATAAATAAACTTGTGGATTATGTAACACTGGAGGATTTCAAATAGGCTTAAAGTACTATCAGCTTCAATATAGCAATTTTATTTATAATAAGAAAGATAGTTCCTTACATCACCAGGAAGTTGATCCCGGGTAAAAATTGGCCATGTTTTCCAATTCAAATCATGACGAAATCTCTTATGAATATGTTCCCCAAAACCATAAATATATTCACTGGGAACCCTGGTTGAGATCTGTAGATACTGGTCAGAATATACCAAGGGACCAATGCTGGTGTCAAACCTGTACCATGAAAGAAGAAAATAAATGATCTAGAATTATAAAAAATATACTCTACTGGATCTAGGTCTATGTTATTTTCCAGAATGCTTCATTTTAAATATGTCACATGTTAGCCATGGTCACTTCTTAAGAACACATCAATTATACCATAAGCAGAACTTGTTAATTCCATCAACACAATTTAATTCATCATCACCAATATATTCCTTCACATGCATTCTCTCCTTTCATCACAATCCTAAAGCACAACTACCTTTATGAATCCCATTTCACCAATGACAGAATTGGGAAAGTGAATTCATTTTTTTCTAAGGTGACAACCTCGTAGACAGGAAAGCCAGATTTCAAATCCAGTTCTGCCTTGTTCCAGAGGCAGTCTTCCCTCCTCTGACATCTATGCTAAAATTGAGTTCAAAATCATTCTTTGAAAAATAAAAAAGGTTTTATATTTTATGCATATCAAATATATACTATGAGATGTGAAATAACATTTAATATTTTTGTGATTTAACATAAAGGTAATTGCGAATTATAAAAATATATTTAAGAGAGGCAATTGTGGAGACTTGATCCTGGCCGCTTAATTAACCTTTCCTGGAGATGCAAAAGAATTTATCTGAAAGATTACTAAGTTCCTTCTCAAATATTCCTCACACTACATTCATAATGAAGGCATTCAATGCTATATTTAATTGAATATCTATAAATAAGAAAAGACCTTTAGCATTACTATAAAAATTAGCCTCCCTCTGAATAGTAGCTAGTTGATCCTATAAATTGACAACAGACTTAAGGTAAATAATAGGGAAAGGACACGATAGGGGTTCTAGGTCTGTGAAAACTTAGGCAAGGCTAACACGTATCACTGATGCTCTCCACCTTCAACTTTGGTTGGCCTGTCCTTGTAATTTTCATCCACAGAAACAAAAATTCCTGTATAAATATATCTTTAAAAAAGATGTACACCACCCTCTTTTGGAATGAAAGCTATTCTTTCTGAAAATGATTTAAAATTAAGATTGCCCTACTATAGCCAGTTTGGCTCAGTGGACAGAGCGTCAGCCTGGGGACTGAAGGGTCCTGGGTTTGATTCCGGTCAAGAGCACTTGCGTGGGTTGCGGGCTCAGTTACCAGTAGGGGGCCTGCAGGGGGCAGCCTATCAATGATTCTCTCTCATCATTGATGTTTCTATCTCTCTCTCCCTCTCCCTTCCTCTCTGTAATCAATAAAAATATATTTTAATAAAACACAATAAAATTAAGATTTTCCTATTTCTAAAATAGGATAAAATTGAATAGTTATTTAACCATGTATAAATGTAAAATAAGATAATTCCAATTACTTACAAAATTTTATTGTTGCTTTTTCTAAAAACTTTGATGCTGAATGGATTTACTCTAACGCTCACATCATACAATGTATCAGAAGCTGCAGTTCCACTAAATTCTTTTACAAACTGATGAGGAACTTCATATCTTCTATTATTTGGATCAGTGATCTACAAAGATTTAAACAAGTTAGCATTATCTTATTAAAAACTGTTATTTAATTTTCCAGGTCTGAATTAAATATTAAATGTAAATTCCAAATAGAAATTAATACATGTAATAATTTTATAAGTGAGTTATTAGTCTAGCCATAAACTTAATTTTAACATTGTTGAATAGCTGTGCACAAAATAAATTGTATAAGTTGTTAAGAAATAAATAGAATTACTTGGTTATAAAAGTACTGTGTATAAAATAAAGATTTTTATTGACTGATATAAAATATTAATAATAGTATTACAAAATATTGATTTTTGAATACTAGGTTTTTGTGAATTTAATTATCCTTATTGCTTTTCATTATTTACCCCTTATAAATCCCATAATGATTTTAAATTTTGTTTAAAAAATGCCTTAATTCCTTGAAAACTTTGCTAAAAAGGTAATATACACAGGATATAATGTTTTCAAATCCAAAAGACCATACTAGTAAACTACTGCTAAAACACCCACACAAAAACTAGTTTATTTAAAATCACAAAGACAAGTGATACCGATAAAAAGAACTAGGGAGTGTAAGTCACATTTATACAGCACAATTAACCCCTTTCTCAAATTAAAATTTAAACTAATTCTTAGTCACAGTCTGTAGTTGGAATAAAAATTACTACAGTTTATTGAGTTTTATTCTTAAGACACTGTATTTTACAATGACTACATTATTAAAGTCTCCAAAAATACTGCCTGAGGAACTATTTATGTTACATTTGAGTACGAAAGCTCAGAGTAGTCTAGTAACTAACTAGTCTAATTAGTCCTCTGCTATGGAGTAAATATTTTTTGAGGGAGCAAATGTCTTGGTAGAATGAATGGTATGCTCATAACACGCTTTTTATTATTAACTTTTTTTTTTTAGAAATCCCAAAAACCAAACCTTAAACCGGAAACGATTGGATGTCTGACTTTGAGTTGTGAGGACAAGAGTGTTAATGTCATTTCCAAATATTGTGGGTGAAGGAATCCTGTTTAATTGGGCTTCAAGTCCTTAAAGAAACAAAAAGTTGGTATGAGTCATGCCTTGATTTATAAAGATTAATAATTATTACATGTTTTCTTGTATTTGCAATGTCATTGATTTTTATCACAAATATTGATCTCTTTTTCTATACAGAAGATACAATTATAAAAAATAAATTCTAAATATAATCATTTTGGACATTCTTGAATACATACTTTCCATTTAATTCTATTTATTTTCCAAAGAAAAATTTAAAACATATTTTTTATTCAACTTCAAATATATGATATTGGATCACCATGATAGAACAATTCTCACCAGTATTTCTTTTTTTCATTCCCGCAACAGTATAGCCATGGTTATTTGCAAAGAAACACCAAGGTATAACAGAATTATTCCAGGGTCTCCAGCAGCAACCTCGCAATTCACAAGTAGCCTGATAAAACATTTATAAAAGGAATTACATGGTTAGTACTGTTATCGTTTGTGTCAATCTCTTATTTTCTTAAACATTCATTCACTCAAAAAATGTTTAAATGAACGTTTTTTAAAAAGCTTATGTATATATGTTAAAATATCACTTATTCTTTTCTTCCTCTCATTTGAAAGAAATATAAATCCTTTATCAATTGAATTCATTACATCATATCAGAGATTGATGCCCTGAGTTGTGTTTAATTTCCATACCAGTGCACATGATTGTAAATTCTAAGGTTTCTGCCCTCTGGGTAATTACAATCCATTCTGTTGTCTTATAGTCACTGCAGAAGAACTAAAATATTTCTTGTATACTAGTGTATCAGTGGGCAAGTGATTCCACAAAGATGAAGATATGGCCCTGAATTCAAGTCTACATAATATATGTAAGGTTCTCATTTCCAGCTAATTGTTAGTTCAATGTTTACTTCAACTATTTAAACTAGTGTATGTTCCAGGTGTGGCAACTAGTTGCTGCCATTATAGTCAATGTATAAAGCAAAATACTGTATTTTCAGTAATTTTGTTATCTATATGGAAAAATTGTGTGGAGTAGGAGAAAAATTATATATGGTTATATAAAAAGTTAGGCCACATGGTGATGTTATGTGTTAACACCAGTATAATTAAAATATATTTAACATTTAAATTTTATAGTGTGATACACTCATAACTTGAACACCAATGGTTTTTATTTTCTTAGCTATTTGTCTGGAAAAAAGTTAAAAACCCCCACTTTTAGTAGCTATATGATGTTATACATGTAACTTTCTATCCTATTTCTATTAATATCAAATTAAAGCAGCATCTGACAAACATGTGTGCACACACCCACAAATATACACATACATACATACATGTACTCTCAAGTGTGTGTGGCTTTTGATCAGGCAATTTTAAAAAAATATTTTTATTTCAGAGAAGAAGAGAAAGGGAGAGAAATATAAAAACATCAATGATGAGAGAGAATCATTTATTGGTTGCCTCCTGCACTCCCCATACTGGGGATTGGGCCCACAGCCCAGGCTGTGCACTGATGGGGAATTGAACCATGACCTCCTCGTTCATAGGTCTATGCTCAACCACTGAGCAACGCTGGCTGGGCTGATCAGGCAATTTTATCTCTAGTTATCTAACTTATAGAAATTCTCCCAGCAATACAAAAAAACAATTGCATAAAAATTGTCACTTACAGTAGTCCTTATTTAGAAATTTTTTTTTGAAAATGTTGTGTGAGGGCTCCCGGTGGCCTGCCAGAGGAGGAGAACTTCGCTAGCTCAGCCCTGCCCTCCTTCCCCTCCCCTCCCCTCTCCTCCCTTAAAAAAAAAAAAATGTTGTGTGAAATGAGAGGTAAAATTAGACATACATATACTTATTTAGAAAGGTGTAAAGTTTTAAAAACAAGAGACAATAAATAAGCAAATTATAATCATATCTTGCTAAATTAAAAAAAATATTTAGTAAAATGGGGTTACATGAAGTTCCTCAAGACATACTGTAAGAGTTTCCAACAGCAGTGTGACACCCATGAAAAGGGTAGTTTGAGAAATTTATTCTCTCAGAGTTTTGGAGTCTAGAAGTACTAATGCAAGGTGTTAGCAGAACCAGGCTCCCTCTGAGGCCATAGGGAATAATTCTTCCATGTCTGTTCCTAGCCTCTAGTGGCTCTTGGCCACGCTTGACATTCCTTGGTTTGAAGATACATTATTGTAATCTCTACTTCCATCTTCACATGGCCTTCTTCCCTGTGGTCCTGTGTGTGTCAGCCCTCCTCTTATAAGGACAGTAGTCATTGGAATTAGGGCCCACCCTCATCCAGTATGACCACATTTAACTAAGTACATATGCAAAGACCTATTTCCAAAGGAGGTCACATTTGAGGCTCCACTTAAACATAAATCTGGGTACAACATATTCAACACACTACATATATACAACAAAATATTAATTTAAAAATGTATATCACCTCATGCTCTTACTAAATTAATAATTTGTGGTATTTTTTAATAAATTTTGATACTTGTTATTTATGTTTATCATTTGCCTATTTTTCAGGATTTCAGACATTTTCTCCTATTACTTATCATTCCTATTCTAATTTCACTTTTCTTTCTGCTTCATTTGAAAAGGCAAAACAATTAAAACATTAAATATTCACCAATAGGCGTAAACTTTAGTAGGTAAATGTAAAATAAATTTATGTTCTTATTTTTATTTTATGTGTATATAAATACCCATATAGAATTATAGAATTATATGTAATCATACATACTGGGTTGACTCTGTATTATGAACTGAATTGTGTCCCCCACATTTCATATGTAGGAAGCTCTAACCTTTAATGTTACCTTATTTGGAGATAAGCACTTTAAGGAGGTAATTAGGTTTAAATAATGAGGTCATTAAGTGAGGCTCATTTGACAGGATTGGTAAACTCTTAAGAAAAAGAAGAGTCTCTCTCTCTCTCTCTCTCTCTCTCTCTCTCTCCATTCACAGAAGAAAGGTCCAGGTGAAGACAAAAGAATGCAGCTATCTAAAAACCAGCAAAACTCTTACCAGAAACCAACCATAATGGCATCTTGACTTCTAGCTTCCAGAATAGTGAGAAAATAAATGTCTATTGTTTAAGCCATCAGTCAGTGATATTTTATTATAGCTGACTAATAAATGCATTCTGGGTAAGCTTTAAGGCTATTTCTTACAACACCATTTAAAGTTCACCTTTTATTCTTAAATGACAAATATAAAATAGATTAGCTAAAAATTGTTAAATTAATAAGTTTAATTCATTTCACATTGAAAACACTCTTTAGCAGCTTAACAGACTGCATTAAAGACTAATAGTAGGCACATAAACCTCAAACAAATGGCTTTTAAATGTTTTCTCTTTAAGATCTTAATAATCCAAATTTTCCTAACAGGATTGTATGTTAAGCTTCAATTATCTCCTAAGGAGAATATTAGCGTAAAAGAATATCTGTCCAATTTGCTCACTGTGTCACATTAAACACTGGTACTTAGCTATTTTTTTCAGTTATTAAGGAATAGAACCCACTATTCCTAAAGTTGTCCTATGAATAAAAAAATCTCACCTATTTTCAAGTTCTCATGGCAAAGTAATTAGAAAATTATGTGAGATTCAGCTATGCATATTACAGATATACTAGAGGCCTGATGCACGAAATTAGTGCAAGGGGCTTGGCCCTCGTAGCCCTGGCTGCCTTGGCCCTCGCAGCCCCGGCTTCGTCCGGAAGGTTGTCTGGACAGTCATTCTGTTGTTTGGTCTAATTAGCATATTAGCACTTCATTATATAGGACTAATGGCCTGGTGCACGAAATTCATGCACGGGGGGTGGGTGTCCCTCAGCCTGGCCTGCACCCTCTCCAATCTGGGACCCCTTGGGGGATATCCGACTGCCACAGGGGATCGGGCCTAAACCGGCAGTCAGACATCTCTCTCACAATTCGGGACTATTGGCTCCTAACTGCTCACCTGCCTGCCTGCCTGATCGCCCCTAACCACTCTGTCTGCCAAGCTGATAACCCCCTATTGCCCTTCCTTTCCAGCCTGATTGCCCCCAACTGCCCCCCTTCTGGCCTGATCGCCCCCAACTGACCCCCTGCTGGCCTGATCACCCCAACTGCCACCCCCTACCAGCCTGCTCACCCCCAACTGCCTCCTGTCCCTAACCACCACTGCCTTGGCCCCGCCAACATAGCTTTGTCCAGAAGGATGTCTGGAAGGTCTCCTGGAAGGTCTCCTGGCCTAATTAGCATATTACCCTTTTATTAGTATAGATGTTGTGGGTATAATAGATTATATATATGCATACTATCTGTATATTATAGAGATATGCAATATATTAGGCATATTATGTAGTAGACATATCATGGGAAAGTATATAATATAATTTGAATATATTGTATAATGGTATATGATATGATTAGTATATAATATTTATATTATCTACACTAATAAAAGACAAAGATGCTAATTGACCATACCTTCGCTATGCCCTAAGCCACGCCCCCCAGCCAATCAGAGAGACTATATGCAAATTAACCCAACCAAGATGGCGGGCCCCTCACCCAGCCTGGCCAGACACCCCAGCAGGACCCTCCACCCTGAAGGGGCTGTGGCCAGCCTGAAAATGGCCCTCAGCCCCTCACCCAGGCTGGCCAGGCACTCCAGTGGGGACTCCCACCCTGAAGGGGCTGTGGCCAGCATGCAAACAGCCATCAGCCCCTCACCCAGGCTGGCCACACCCTCATGGGGTGAGGGTCCCCGCTGAGGGGCTTAGCCAGCCTGAAAACAGCCCTCAGCCCCTCACCCAGCCTGGCCAGACACCCCAGCAGGACCCTCCACCCTGAAGGGGCTGTGGCCAGCCTGAAAATGGCCCTCAGCCCCTCACCCAGGCTGGCCAGGCACTCCAGTGGGGACTCCCACCCTGAAGGGGCTGTGGCCAGCATGCAAACAGCCATCAGCCCCTCACCCAGGCTAGCCAGGCACTCCTATATAATAAAAAAGTAATATGCAAATTGACCCTAACAGCAGAATGACTGGGAATGACTGGTCACTATGACACACACTGACCACCAGAAGGCAGATGCTCAATGCAGGAGCTGCTCCCTGGTGGTCAGTGCGCTCGCATAGAGGGAGCTCTGCTCAGCCACAAGCCAGGTTGCCGGCTGCCAGTACAGCGGTGGTGGTGGGAGCCTCTCCCGCCTCCTCAGCAGCACTAAGCATGTCCAATTGCAGCTTAAGCCTGCTCCCACTGGCAAGTGGACATCCCCCGAGGGCTCCCAGGCTGCCAGAGGGATGTCGGACTGCCAGCTTAGGCCGATCCCCCAGGGAGCGGGTCTAAGCCAGCAGGTGGTCTTCCCCTGAGGGGTCACAGACTGCGAGAGGGCACAGACCGGGCTGAGGGATGCCCCCGTGTGCACAAATTTTTGTGCACTGGGCCTCTGGTCTAGGTATAATACATTATAATATATAGATATTGAAAAAGTGAATACACAAAGACACACACACTCATTGACCTTTATTCCCATACAGGTTATGAAGACCAAAGAAGAGTCAATTTAAGATTATATGAATCCATTCAGTTACCCTTAATTATTTCCATTCAGCTTCTTCCAAATTACCAAATAACCAAATAATAAAAAATTAACAATATTCAAAAAATCAATGTTACTTTATTTTCCATTGATACTTCTTAATGCCATTACAAATACTCTATTTGAGAATAGATATTCTCTCTCAAGTGTTATATATTGCCAAAGGTTTTTATTTTAATTAGTTGATTTGAGAGGATAGAATTTTAGGAAAGTTTATAAAATTAATAATACCTCGTTAAGTATAAAAATGTTAACTTTTAAATTTGAATTGAATAGAGATACAGAAAAGCAATCTCAATTATTTCTATTATCGCTCATCTGTTTATACAGAACTATATTAAAAAGGTGAATGCAGCCTAATTGATGGCTACATCTTAAAAATATAGGAATTGAACCAATATTGAGTAATATTTTAATATAATTATTTGACTATATCTGTTCATAAAAATATTAAAGACTTATTTTCAGACCTTTGTTGGAAATTGATCTGGAATGCAGTTTATTCTCTCATTGATAGGATCATACTGCTCACTTGGACATTTTCCTGACCCCGGATGCACAGTGGTTGAACGAGTAGTTGCTGGAGTTGCAGTAGAACCAGTACTTCCTGGGGGTGGGGGGGAAGGTCAATAAAATAAAATGTGATATGATATTACTTTTTCATATTTTAAAGTAGTGAATGCTTTACATTGAAAGAATACATGATTTTTTATATAATAAAATAAAATAAACTTGGCATTAAATTAGAACCCACAAATTCAGATCTTAGTCCTCAAAAGGAAAATATCCAGATGATATTTAAAAATAGATTTGTAGATCCCTGTTGACTGTTTCTTCAGAAAAACAAAATATATTCACAGAAGGTCTTGAAGTAGATTTAAAAGGAAACAAAATGTACATTCCCATCATATTTACAATTTGTTTTGTATAGATGAAGAAGGAAGATGAAGAAACATGGATGGGAAAATAATGTAGAGAAGGAGACAAAAATTAAAGAAGAAAAAAGAAAAGTAGGAGAAAGAAGATACTTGAAGGTAATTAAAAGAGAAAGCAGGGAACAGCAATGAAAAATAAATCCCAAATCCTAAATAATAAAAGGCTAATATGCAAATTGCCCCTATAGGCAGGAGTTGGATGTGCACTGACCACCAAGGGGTGGCGCGGAACATGGCGGGCATCGGTGACGCAGCGCTGGCAACGGGCGGCAGTGGAGTGCTGCTGACCCTGATGGGCCCCAATGAGAGTGGAACAGTGGCGGGATGGGGGAGCAGGTGAGCAGGTGGCACCAGGCCAAGGCAGGTGTAAAGGGTGGCCCTGGCCAGCAGCGGCTGACAGCCCGGGGGAACGGAGCTCCCAGCCGGCGACCAGCAGCTGCTAGGGACACAACCATGCACAAATTCTGTGAACTGGGCCTCTAGTCTATATAATAAAGATCTTTCTAGCCATCAGGTATGGGCAAGCTAAATTTGATTGCTTCACAATGTAGTGAGCTTCTGGTTTACTGGAAAAAGATAAAACAAAAGACTAAGAGCAGTAGAAAGTGCTAACTACAGTTACTTTGAAGACAACTTAACATCCATTCCAGTTTTGATTTGGTCAAGATAGAATGATGAAAAGAGAAAGTAGATTAGGTCAACCAGAGTAGTATTCATCCACTCTAAATTAGAATAGAATAATTCATAAAAAGGGTAAACATTTCAAGCCTTGTTTCCTTTGCCTCTTTCTTTTTTTCTCATGCAACCTCTCTCTCTCTGTGTCTCTTTTTTCAAAGAGTCTAAAACAAACAGGGTACTCCCCCAAATTTTCCACCCCCCTTTGCAAGTGTCTGAAAACCAGAGTATAAACCCAGGTCTTCCCACTAATTGGAAGAGTCTCACCGGTAGACAATTATTCCACCTTCATTAACACCTTGATCCCTTTGCCTCTTTGCTGTTTCCCAAACAGCCCATTGTGGGGAAGAGGGTTAATGTGAGAGCACACAGATTTCTTAATTACAATGGCTCTTCATTGAAATAACTAAGATATAATGGATAGAATAAGTTGGAGTAATTACATAACTTAGCCAAATCTGTTTTTTTATAATTTTCATCTCATAAACTACTTTTCCAAAAGCCTAACTATTATGGAGTAAACTTCCCTGTAACTTCACTAGATTGTGCAATTATTTTTAACACTACTTACCTTCAACAGCAGGTGTCCTGGTTGCTAAAACAGCAATTAGGGCAATAGCTATTATGGTAACTATAATAAAGAGGACAATCAGAGTGATTTCTAAGCCACTAAATTTTTTACGTGCCATCTAAAAAAAAAAAAGAAATATTTGTTTAAAATATAAAATACATAGCTACAAAAAGCCATCATCATTATCATAAAATTATATACATTTTTTGAGTTAAGCACAACACAAGCAGAGCTGGAAAGATTTCCATAAATTTACAATCTAAAATAATATACTTTGGGAAAATGTAAACAACACACTCAATTTTAAGTAAAAGGAGTGAATTCAGGATGTGCATTTAGCAGCATACTAAGATGGAATCATTTTTTAAAAAGGATCTCCAGCAGGTGTGCCTTGCTCTCTCATTTTAGAACATTTTTCAAGTCTAAAACCCCTCAAGTTTGTACTCTGTTCCTTAATTTTTACAAGGATACAGTGTATGAAAGAAACACTGGTTTGCACATTTTACTTAAGAATTTCAAAGTAAAAAAATGTAGTTCTTCCTACTATAGCTATTGTATCTCAAATTCCAACAGTTTTCTTATAACAATATTGTGAAAAGATTATAAATATGTAAAAAAAATATAAATATAACATATCTAAAAAGTATAAAAATGAAAAATAAAATACACATATATTATATATATATATGTGCAGTATATAATTGTGAGTTGTTGCTTTAAAAAAAGATTCAAACTATATAATCTTCAAGTTCCTTAAATAGCAAATAAAATATATCATACAAAACTATATATATATATTAATTTTAAGATAACATTATGCATTTGCGTTAGCATACAGAAGATATCTAAATATAGATTGGGAAGAACTCATTTTAGTAATTATCTTAAAGTTTATTTAATTTTGTTTTGACTATACATCACTCATCTTTTCTAGCCTTCCTGTTTTTATGGCTTTTCTGTATTCTATAATTTTTATGTAAATCTTAACTCAATAGTTTTTAAATCAACATTTATGAGGGGGGCCTCTCACACTAGTTCCTTCTCCTTCACCTATCTATGTCAGTTCCTATACCAAGTTGTCTCAACCTAAAGCTTCTTTTCGCTCACCCATATCTTTCTACCACTGTCAATCATTCTACAAGTCCTGTTGATTCTACTTCCAAAATATTTTCAGAATGACGCCCACAACTACATCTTTTTTGGATAATATATCTTAGTGAATGCTATTTTTTAAAAATATATTTTATTGATTTTTTTACAGAGAGGGAGAGGAATAGAGAGTTAGAAACATCGATGAGAGAGAAACATCGATCAGCTGCCTCCTGTACACCACCTACTGGGGATGTGTCCGCAGCCAAGGTACATGCCCTTGACTGGAAACGAACCCTGGACCCTTCAGTCTACAAGCTGATGTTCTATGCACTGAGCCAAACCGGTAAGGGCAATGCATGCTATTTAATCTTTCTTCAATCCTTCCACATATGCTTTTCTAGGTTAGTTCCAGTTCAAATGCCATTTCCTCAGTGAGTCCTTTCCTACTCTTAGAGGCAGAGGGACTATGTATACTTTTTCCATTTTACCATGGCAGATACCAAATCTATTGCAATTATTTATACATATGTCAATTTCCCTATTGGATTATTGTATTTTTATAGCAAGAATCATGAAAGTGGTTCTGAACCTAACATCGAGCAAGTGCAACCTCAATTTTTATGATATAACAGATATTTAAACGTTTTGTAATTCACACATATATAAGCTGTTTATTACATTGGTAACATTCAGATAAACTAAATAGAAACTAAACCTTACAGATGATATTTAAGCTGTTTAGAAAATGAAACTCAATTGCTCAGTGTTATATGAGAAATGACGCAGTTGCATTTAATGTTTAACTTTAAATAATTTAAGTGTCATTCAAAGTAATATCCTACTTTGTTATCAAGAAGCAAAAAAAAAGCAAAAAAAAACCTGCTTTTTTTTATTAAGAAAAGTAAAAGAAATGCCTATTGTCATGAAGCAAACCCTCTTGTATCTAGAAAATGAGAACAAAATTAATGCCCGAAAATTAAAATTCTTATGTGAGTACTCATAAACAATCAATATTAAAATTGTTCATATGTTGTAGATGGTAATTGCAGTGATATTATTTTTAATCACTAATTTTAAGTAACATTTTTTTGAGGAAATTATATACTCTGGGGAAATTATGTCCTTTCTCTGTATATTATTTTCAAAATGAGCAATATATTATTAGATGGTAATGTGGTGATTGATCTTTAAAAGATTTACTAGAAAAGATCAAATGTTTTATAATTGTAGCATTCTACTCTGCCTGTGTATATATATTTTAGATAAAATATATTTAATCATACTTAGAGTATTTTCTATATTACAAAATATTTTGATCCTTATTTTCTTCTCTATAAAGCAATTAAACTACACCTGCTATAAATCCACTTAAGTTTGACAAAAAGTATAATAAAGAGCTGGGCAAAGAAAATATTCTTACTTCTTAAAAAAAAACTAGAAATCTCCTCTCCTATTTTAGTACAAGGGGCTATATATTTAAAATGACAAATGGAAATATGTTATCTTTAATATTTTAAAGAAGTGCAGATAAACAAGAAGATTGTTAACATGAACTAAGAGAACACATAACTACTTGGAAACATGAAAATAACAAAGAATTGTTACGCATAAACTTACCTTATTTCATAGCCTGTTCTGTTTGCTAGTTTGTACCAGAGCTAGGGTAAGGCTGCCAAAGTCATGATCAGGGAAAACTGCTCAGGTATATATCGTGCTACTCATAAAGTTTTATTGCACCCTCAACCAGCCTATCATTACTTAGTAAACATGTTCGACAGGCAATTGTAAAAAGCCTTAACCCGCAAATAGTTTAGGTCAATATTTCAATATGGGAATCTAAGTTAATTAATAATTATGCTCTGAAATAGTCTTTGATTTCTGTAAGCTATGAATTAGCAAAGGAACATTAAAGTATTTACTTATACTATTTTTTCTCTTTTCAAAGTTTTATTTTGTTTATTTGGATGTTTCTTCATAACTGTTTTATCACGTTGTATGAGATTTAAACTCTCACTGGAAAGTAGCAACATATTTGTAAGCTGGGATTTGGAAAATATTTGTAGGAACTAACTATTAAAAGCTAATAAATCATAAAAAGCAATGATTAATAAAAGTTATCTCCTGTGTCTCATTGTGAATCTTCTTAAGATTGAAGAATTGACCAAATCCATGAAAATATAATGCAAGAGTGAGCACCAAAGCCCCACTGAAGCAAGTCTTGTCCCATAAGGGTGTCTTCAGCACAGAAGTTCTCCCACTGTAGACACAGCCGATTCTCACAGACAATTGGCCTGGAGGTCAATTCCTCCCAGTGATACCAACAACAATCAAGGCTTAACTACAACAAGACTGTGCACACAGCCCACAAAGGGGTGCACCAAGAGTGTCCACCTCAGGTAATTGGGGAGGCTGAGCCACTGGGCCCTATAGGACACCTAGCACAGATTTTTCAAGAATTTTATGGAAACCGCCGATAAATGTATTGAGATCCTTAAGAAATCTAGTGAGACCCTCGATGTTGTGATAAAGGACCAACTAGAAATTAAGCATACACTGACTGAAATAAAGAATATTATACAGACTCCCAACAGCAGACCAGAGGATCGCAAGAATCAAGTCAAAGATTTGAAATACGAAGAAGCAAAAAACACCCAACCGGAAAAGCAAAATGAAAAAAGAATCCAAAAATACGAAGATAGTGTAAGGAGCCTCTGGGACAACTTCAAGCGTACCAACATCAGAATTATAGGGGTACCAGAAGAAGAGAGAGGGCAAGATATTGAAAACCTATTTGAAGAAATAATGACAGAAAACTTCCCCTACCTGGTGAAAGAAATAGACTTCCAAGTCCAGGAAGCGCAGAGAACCCCAAACAAAAGGAATCCAAAGAGGACCACACCAAGACACATCATAATTAAAATGCCAAGAGCAAAAGACAAAGAGAGAATCTTAAAAGCAGCAAGAGAAAAAAAGTCAGTTACCTATAAGGGAGTACCCATACGACTGTCAGCTGATTTCTCAACAGAAACTTTGCAGGCCAGAAGGGAGTGGCAAGAAATATTCAAAGTGATGAATAGCAAGAACCTACAACCAAGATTACTTTATCCAGCAAAGCTATCATTCAGAATTGAAGGTCAGATAAAGAGCTTCACAGATAAGAAAAAGCTAAAGGAGTTCATCACCACCAAACCAGTATTATATGAAATGCTGAAAGGTATTCTTTAAGAAGAGGAGGAAGAAGAAAAAAGGTAAAGATAAAAATTATGAACAACAATTACATATCTATCAACAAGTGAATCTAAAAATCAAGTGAATAAAAAATCTGATGAACAGAGAAAAAAATATAATGCAAAAGTAGAGATATATAAATAAGTAATCCAAAATTAAAATCAACATTTTAATTTATCTGTTCTCATTAAAGCACTAATTTAATTATCAAAATTATCTTGTAACTGCTTACCATTTCATTCAGTAAAAATGACAGTTTCAATTACACTTCTGGTTTAAACTAGTATAGAATTTAAGAGCAAAGTATTCAATATGAGAAACCTAGGAAAAATTCCAGCTGTATTACATATACCTGAGAAACCATGGGCAAATTTGTTAATTTATTTAAGCTTAAGTCTCTTTATCTATAAGGTGGAAAGAAAAATAGCTATCCAAAAGGTCACTGTCAGAGTTATATGAGATAACATAGTCTATTATCATTATTGCAGCTCTACTGTCATGATGAGTACAATTTGACTCTAAAAAGGTTAGTATCTGAGTTCTGCACACAATCTCCCACTATCTTTTAAAAGGAATGTATATATATTTAAAGGTGGTCACACAGAGTAGAGTAACTAGCTTTTTAAGTTTAAAGAGAATATGAGAAGTGTATGCTTGGATTACTGTGAGACTCAGGGGAGATATAAAGGAGAACTTCCAGTATATAAAGAGCAGTGATATGGAAATATGATTAGACTCATGCTAGAATGGTCTCAATGGACAGAACTAAGTCCCATGTAATAAAAATCATGAGTGATT